CAGAATCCGATCCAGGACAACATGGAGAACTACAGGAAACTGCTGTCCCTTGGTAAGTGGCTGCCTCACCTGCCACCCTTGACCAGGATGTGGATTGTGCGTTCTCCTGGGGACTCTTGGAAGACCTCTCGCCTGAGTGTTGGTCGTGGCCGTGAACTCTGGGACTCTTGTCTCAGTCAGTTCAGCTTTGGAGAGCAGGTAGGGGCAGCTTCCAGATACGAGGGGCAGAGCACAGAGATCTTGAATGGGGGTCTCCGAGAAAGTGACTTCAGGAACACATGGGTCTCCGACAGATTTTTGGGATGAGGTCAATAGAATTAAAATATAGCTGGGAAAAGGGTAAGGAATGGTTTTCTTCTTTTTGTTTTTGTTTTTGGTACTGGGAATTGAACTCAGGGCCTTGCACTTGCCAGGCAGGTGCTTATGCCACTGAGCTATATCCCCAGCCCTGAGGTAAGGAACGGACAGTAGGAGATTGAGACAGGACATTAATGACATCCAGGGAACTGGACACAAGCATCTTCCTGCTTCAGGGCTCCCGGGAAGGTGCAGTCAGCCTCCAACCCAGTATGAGTTGTGTGTTCTTCTCGTGGGCAGGTGTGCAACTTGCTGAGGATGACCGCCGCTCCCACATGACCCAGGGCCACTCGCTGAGGGCCCCCCGAGACACCTACCCCAGCACCCGCCAAGGCAAGCCCCACAGAGCCTGCAAGGAGCCCGCGACCCGCAGGACCCAGCCAGAGGGGCGGCCAGCACAGCACACACCGCCCAGCCGGGTCTCTCGGCCGCTGCGTATGTGTGGCCCGGGGAGTATGCACCTCTGGGGTTTGTTTCCAGGTCTGATTACTGTGCCAGACACCAAAAGCTCAGCCCAGTGGCTGGAAGTCGGTGAAGATGAGCCTTCCCGTGAAATGCTCGTGGAAAACCTTGCCAAGGACACGTCGTGCCGTGGCACCAAGGCGCGAGGGGAGAAGGAGCTACCGGAGCGGCTTCAGAGGCTCCCTAGAATGTTGGGTGACAGCTGCAAGGATGTGTCATGTAGCAAGAGGGGTTCAGCAGCCCCAGGGAGGGGTCAAGAAGGGTCTGTGGTCAGGCGAGGCTTCAGGTTGTCCTCCAACCTGGTATCCAAGAAGAAAGGCCAGCAGAAGAAGAAGCGCTGTCCTGTCAGTGCAGATGGGCAGGAGGCCACTGATGGCCGCAGAGGCTGTGTCAGGAAGAAGCCCTCCAAGTGTGGTGCTGGGGTGAGGAAAGCCAGGAGTGGGAGCAACCCAGGCAGCCCTGGCAGAGCCTCCGCCTCGGAGGAGCGCCAGCCCAAGGACAGGGGGACTGTGCTGTATGTGTGTGATCAGTGCGGGGGCTCGTTCGAGGCCATCTCCAGATTCGTGAATCACCAAATCATGCACAGCAAGGAGGAACTTCTTAAGGACAGTGAGGCCTCCACTGGCGGTGTGCCTGACGGCGAGGTGCAGAATAGCGGCGGGCAGCGCCTGGAGTGTGAGCAGTGTGGGGAAGCCTTCCAGACGACCTCTGCGCTGGCGGAGCACCGCACGGCCCACGACCACGAGCATCTTGCAGGGTGGGTGGGGCGGGCCGACGGGGAGGCCGAGATGCCTAGCCCGACCTTCAGCGAGCTTCAGAAGATGTACGGCAAGGACAAGTTCTATGAGTGCAGGCTGTGTGAGGAGACCTTCCTTCACAGCTCCGCGCTGGCGGAGCACCAGGAAGCCCACAGCAGGGACGGAACTGGTAAGCGCCCGCGAGAACCCGATCCCTGGCCTGTGGTGGCTGACCACCGCTCGGCCATCCGCGTGTTCCACAAGGTGCGCGTCCGGGAGAAGCTTCATCGGTGTGAGGAGTGCCAGCAGCTTTTCCTCCGCAAGTCCTCCCTGAAGGAGCACCAGAAAACACACACGACACCAAGGCGGCTTAAGAGTGCGATGAAGGTATCTGAGGGAAGCTCTGCCCCCAGCCAGTTGCTGGGAGTGCGGCAGAAAATCTGGGTCACAGAGACGGTCTTGGACTGCACGGCGGGCGGGGATGCCTTGATACAAAGCCCGGACCTCAGCGAGCGCCAGGAAACCCATTCTCCAAAGAACTTTGCAGGCGAGGGTTACAAGAAACCTGTCATTTACAGGCTGCCCATCCCCGAATCTCAGAAGAGCCATACCCTTGCCAGGCCCCCTGAAAATGAAGACGAGAAGGCATTCCCTGTCAGCACCAACCCCAGTGAAGACCAGGAGTTGCCCATGGCAGGGGGGAAACCAATTGAGAAGCTGGGTGTTCACAGCCTGGCCTCTGCTGCTGACACTCAGAAGTACGGTGGCACAGTGGAGCTCAGGAAACCAAAGCCAGTGCCAGAGTCTCCCGTTCAGAGCGCCCCGGTTCTTAATCATCAGGTTGGCTGTTCCCAAGGGGACACCTGGGAAGGAAGAGGTCCCAAGAGGCCCAGTCCACCTAGCCTGCCTGTGCCTCCACCTCTGAAGCGTCACAGAAGGAGCGAAGACGTTGAGCGTGGTGAGGAGAGAGAAATCTCTATTTGTGTCTCAGGCCTGAATAAGTGGCTCGGGATTTGCACCAGGAGGAAGCCCTGTGAAGCGGGTGAGGGGAACAACTACCAGGACCACGTTATTCAGGGTGCACCCCACGCTGAGCCTCAGAGGAGTCTTGCTGGAGGGGGAGCTGGTGAGTTGAAGCAAGATGGCAGATCTAGTGGCTCCAGCTCAGATGTCTGTGCACACCAGGAGGCTGAAGCTCAGAAGAAATGCCCCGAGCCTGGGAGGAAGGCGGCCCCCATGATTCATTTGCTGCTGCTCAGGAGGCTGCCCATGGCTCGCCCTGGAGAGAAGAGCTGTGCCCCTCGGGATCTCAGAGAGTTCTTTGCTCGTGGCTCCTGCCTCATTAAACCCCAGAAGAGCCACTGCGGAGAGAAGCCCCCTGAAAGCAGAGATTGTGAGCAGTCTGTCACTTGCAGCACACCCCCTGCGGAGCTGCAGGCAAGCTGCGCCCAGCTCTCGGGTGCCGAGGAGCAGCCCTGCTGCAAACCCGCCGAGCCTGGGCAGTGCCCTGCCGCCGGCAGCAGCTGTGGTGCCCTGCAGACAGCGGATGCCCAGGAGAATCTGGGTGGCCAGGAGCCCTGGGGTCAAGGGGCTGCCGAGGACACTGCTGCTCAGGCCCCAGAGTCGGGCGAGCCACAACAGGGTGGCCCCGAGGGCCCAGTCTGTGGGTGTCAGGACTGTGGACTGGGTTGTGCAGGCCTCTCCGCTCTCACAGGCTGCCAGGATGTCTGCCGCAGGAAGCAGCTCGGTGCCCACCAGGAGCGCGCACCGCCGGAAGGCCTTGTGCATGCAGTCAGTGAGGATGCAAAAGTGGAGAGTGGAGAGCGACTCTCCGAGCCCCTGCCGTGTGGTCAGCCTTTTGTTCACAGCTCCTCCCCCCACAAGCACCGGCAAACCCACGAGCCAGACAAGGTGTGTTCCACGAAAGGATCTGGTGACAGCACCGTCTCCCTCTCGCCCGTGATCCCGCAGAGGAACCGGGCCGCCAAGAGGAACCCTGCTGTCGCAGGTGCAGCCACTCAGTGCCACCATTGTGGACAAGGGTTCAGCCACAGTCCCACCCTGAATGTGCACATGCCACCTGGCAGGGACGGGGACACAGAGCTGCTGCAGGGGGCTGATGGGACTGAGGGTGTTTTCAGTCCAGGCTGTACCCTCCCTGAGCTTCCTGGACATGAGGACGGAGAGAAATGCTTCGAGCGTCCTGTGTGTGAAGAGTGCTTCCTCACTGCTGAGGAACGTGGCCACCGTGCCGGGCTTCCTGGAGAGGAGCCCTGTGAGTGCTTGCCCTCGTGCACGCACACCTCGCCGCCCACCGAGCCCCTCAGGCAACCTGCGCCATCCTTCGCCTGCAAGGATTGTGTGCAGCTCTTTGTTCCTGATTCAGACTCCACCAGCCACTTTTCTGAAGGAGGAGAAGGCGCCACCGCCCAGGAGGGCCAAGCTGATGTCCTAGGTCCACCAGAAGCTCTGCAGGTGCCGGAGTCAAACGGAGAGGCTGCCAAAGCAGATACAGGAGCTGCAGGGCCCAGAGAGGCTGAGGGACCAGATGGAGAAGCTGCTGAGCCCAGC